TAATTTACTTTTAACTACAAAGATTACTTATTTATTTAGCTGTTTTATTAATGCTTACTTTCAATGGTGTCGGTTCAGTGCCGGTCAGTGCCGGTACAGTCAGAACTAGTGCCGGTGCCGTTCCAGTGCCGCGGCACCGGCACCACGGCACTGAGTGCCGGTGCCAGTACTTCGGCACCGGCACCAACATTTCGATCACTACTTTGAGGTATCGTTATTATACTATTGTATGATTATTTAATATTTTGTTCTCATTCCCTTGCAACATGCTATTTTAATTTGCTACGTAATTTAATTGATCTTAATAGTTTATTAATTGTATATATGTATAAAATAATTATAGTGCGGCTCGTGTTTTGCGTTTGCTGTGGTCGACACCATTGAAAGTAAGCATTAATAAAACAGCTAAATAAATAAGTAATCTTTGTAGTTAAAAGTAAATTAGTTACTGATGAGTTAATAATTAAGCTAAATTAATTAAATGTTTAATGTCTTTATAATTTAGTGTCATTTTGTGGTATTTAATTTTAGAATTTATGTTTCAATATAAATAATCCATAGAATGTAAAATAGTATTTTTACAAAATCTAAACGAAACATGTAACAAAATTGAGAAGGTTAAACTAGATCAATTAATTATAGTTGCCTGATTATAATTCATTATTATAATTTTTAACCAGGTGCGTTTAAAATAACAAACCCGGCTGAAACACTAAAAGTGCTATCTGTGCAACAAATCGTCGACTGTATGTATAACCCCGATCGCCACGACATATGCCAGACGGGCGGTACGCTGCCAGACGCCGCCAAATACGTGAAGCAGCATGGTGGCCTAGAATTGGAAACCGACTATCCGTACGTGGGCAAATATGGCATATGTGACAGCCGTGTGGATAAAAATCAAGTCACCCTAACCGGTTACGGCGAACAATACGATGGCGACGAGTGGTATTTGAGGGAGGTTGTTGGCACGGTAGGCCCAGTGGCCCTGGGCATTTTTTCCGACAGGCCTAATTTTAAATTGTATAAGTCGGGCGTGTATGTCGACAATGGTTGCCATGGTGTCGCGGCTGATCATGGTGTTGTAATAGTAGGCTATGGCCGCGAAAATAATCTAGATTATTGGCTTATTAAAAATAGTTGGGGCGAAACGTGGGGTGCTAAGGGGTATATTAAAGTTGCCCGCAATAATAATAACCAGTGCGGTATTGGCGAGTATTGCCTCTGGCCTAAGGATGTTAAAAAAGCGTGATTGATTGATCCAGGTGTTGTACTAATTTGATTTTTTCGATTATTCGATAATTATGATATTTATAATTTACTTATTTGTGTATCTTTTAAACGATTTGTTTTTTATTAAATATTTATTTTTTAATTAATAAATAACGTTTGTAAGTTTTATAATTATATTAATAAACTCATAAATTATTATGCACTTAATTATTGATTTAAAAGCATATGGTATTAATATTTAATAAAATGTATAAAATTTTATTAATTATAACAAACAAAAAACAACACAACTATTTAATTAAAACTAAACATTCCTAATTTATTACAAACCATATTTGCTAAACTGATCATAACTAATAATACGATTAAGCTAAACCATTAAATAATAAACCATGATCAGCAATATCAGGCCATATCTATCGGGCAGAGTTACCGACTTTCAACGTCAGTCGACGGGCCATCTCTTAAACACCATTTACAATGAAAACAAGTAATTTATAAACAAATAAAATATTTACCTATTTATTAAAAATTAATTTAATATTTATAATAACTAGTATAACATTTTTATTTAATACTTACTATTACTATGTTTAGAGAGTACGACGTGATCGTCGACATGGGGTGCGGCTCCGGGTATTTGACCCAACTATTGGCTCATAAAGTAAAATACAGGCAAATAATAGGTATAGACAGCGACCCAACACTAGTAGTGGAGGCCCAGCGGCGCAACACCACAGACACCATCCGATACCTACACCAAGACTTAGACAAACCGTGGGCTGAATGGCGGCCTGAGCTCCGGGCCCTCGAGTCCACCGCAAACCTGATTGTGTCAAACATTGTGTTTCAGGCCATAGAGGATAAGCCGAGACTAATGGATGTGTTGGCCCACCTGTTGGCCTCCGGGGGCCGAGTGGTGGCCCGTTTTGGACAGACACCCGATCTGAATGCGAAACTCACTGAACATCAGCGCCGAAAGTATCGGTTGTTTTTAAAGACCTATTCAACGGATCAACACTACGACCACTGGTCGACAGCCGCCCATCAGAAGGGTCTGGGAGTCAAACAGTTTGCCGTTTTTGACAATTACCGTACGATTACACGACAGCATATGATCGGTGCGTGTATTTAATCTGTTACAATGATCATATTATAAATGATAAATGTATAAAATGTATGTTTTAATACTACAGTATTATTCAATGTATTCAATGTTGTGTGTTTATGTGTAAAGACTGTAATAATAATGTAGCTGATTGTTTAGAAATATAGACGGGTTATGTTTATACAATTATTGGTTGCGATTACGAAAAGGGGTTAATTCACAACTTTTATTTATTTTATATTATATCCATATTTTTAATTAATTTAAATATATTATTTATTATATTATTTGTAATTACTTTTAACACACCTTACCCGCAGTGTATCGTAATTTGACACTAGTTTATACAAGAATATAAACTGTAACACTATTTTTGTTGATACGTTTAACTGTAGACTGAGAAACAGAATTAATATAGTTGGTAATTGCAACAAAATAAAGCATACTAATTATTGTATATTTATATGTTAATCATGTCACAGACAATTTTGCTTAATTAATTTACATATATAGTAGCAACTTGAGTTTAAATTTATGAAATTACAATACACTTAATCATGTTGTATATCTGTTTATTTTTACCATGATTATTTCCCCCCAAATAGCTATGAGTCCAATGCTGCCCGAAATGATAGCCTCGGTGTTTAAATTGCGCAATAAGACCGGGGTGAAATACGAGTTTGTTAAGAGCATAGTGTTTGATGTGTTGACACAACCGACGACTAAACACCTGAACGGAAACGCGTGGACAGACTTCGTGGCCGACGACTCCATCGCAACCATTGAATTGCATTTCCAGGAAATACAGCTAATCCTCGTTAAGCAGTGATTTATATGCAATGATTTGTTTTCAAAGAATTTGGATTTTTTAATGAAATTTAATTTATACCTATATTATTTTCTATTAAATTTGACTTTATATTCATTTTAAAAAATGCAATGATGAAAAAATTAAAAGTTTATATTATTGATATTATTAAAAATATGCAACATTTAACCCTAGAAGCTTAAACTGGGAGATTAGTTTCCCATTTGCACTTTGAATTTCAATTAAAAATCAACGAAGAGTGCTAGCCAGAAAAAATTCAGTAATGCATCACAAATAGTTAGGTTTATAAATATGTAAAGTTATATTATTATAAAAGTTAATTATCATGGTTAAATCGCGGTTAAATTAACGTTTGGGATATTAATTTCCTAGTTTATGCGCAATGTAACTTTTTTCACGCAGTATAAATAGTGCTAATTTTTATCTGCACTTAATGCATAAACTGGGAGATTTATCTCCCAGCAGTAAACTGCATAAACTGTGAGAATAATCTCCCAGCATAAACAGCACTAAAGCGTGGGATATTAATCTCCCAGTTTATGCACTAACTGATGGGAGATTACATTCCCAGTTTATTTACAACGTTATTATTTAAGTTTAAGCTTTAAGGGTTAATATTATATTTGAATTATAGGAGTATTTTTTCTCAGTTACAAAAATTAAATATTTTATTTTTAAGAACTGCTTTCCCGGTCATAACCGGTGGATATAGTAATTTCAAATTACTAATTTAAAACTAGTTTATACATGTAAAGCATAAAAGATGTAATAACATTTTATAAATTACTTGATTATTGATTTATCTTATTAAATTACAAAACAATATATTAAATGTTTATATTATATAGATGCATGTAAATATATTTTAATTTATATCTATTATATAAACCAACAGTGATATTAGTGTACGTGTAGTGCGTTCTCTCTCTCACACTCGCACGACTAATATATACACACATAACTCATAGATATAGATATAAAGAGGTTTACTTGTACCTAATGTATTTTGCATTTATACATCAAAACAATAGACCGGATATAAATCAAAACAAAACTTTAATCCCTTTATTTGATTTATATCCGGTCTATTGTTTTGATGTATAAATGCAAAATACATTAGGTACAAGTAAACCTCTTTATATGTAACAACTGAGTAAAATGCGTTTATATTAAATGGGCTAAGTGTACTCGTATTATATATATTGATTGAATGCATTCAAATGACCATGAATTTGTTAAATAAACAATGTAACTTTTTTAATAATAGTAATAGATTATATAATTTATGCATATACAGTATATTGCATTTGATAAAATTGTAACTTACTGTATTTAATTCCTGAATGTTATGATAAAGGCAATTAAAATAAAATACTTGGTAACAAATTAAAAGTATTATTTAACAATCATATTTCATCTCTATACAGTATGTTATTTTCAAAACTGTAAATTTAACATGATTAATGTTATTATATTAAATCCTACGGTTGAAATAATGGAATTGCCCAAAACACTTTTTAACCACTATTCTGATATGAATAATGTGGTTTATAGGATCGTTAGGCTCCCCTCCAACAGCCCCCCCCCCACCGCTCTAT